AAGCTACTGGAGGCAGATTTCAGCTGAACACATGAAAGAACTCTCTATTGGTCTCTTTAAAAGAGAGTAACTTGTCTTGGCAGGTTGTCACAGAGAGGCTCAAATATAACCCATTTGGTGGCATATTATAGAAAATTATAAGAGTTGGACAAGATGACCTATAAGCTTCTTTCCAGGGCTGGGTTTTCTCATACCACCTCTCCCACTCTCACCATCGTCTCTCAGAGACCTTCTGCTTAAACCTTTTCGTGACCTTCATCACCTGCTGATTCCAGACCATGCTTTATAGCATAGCACACAGGAACCTCCCTCTCCCACATCTCCACTCACATCCCTACCCAAAACGAAGCAATAGCAAACCACTTAACGGTGCTCTGCACACCCATGCTCTGCACACCCATGCTGCGCTCTGTGCTGAAGATGCCCTCCCCTCTTCCTTCGCCTGGGCTTTTATGCTCTGATACTTTCTCCAACACTCTGTTCCGGCACTGCAGTGGATGTTTGTCACCTCTTGTACGCACCTTAATTTCCACCTGGTATATTCATTCTGTGTTTTGATGCAAGGGTAACTGCAGGGGCCTGCCTCCCACTACCATTTGGAAGGAAGTTGAGGAAGTCAAATACTTCCCTATCAGTCTCTAGTTCCAGCTAGGAGGCAGGCAGGTGACAAAAGACCGGCCAACTGGGCCTTCTCTCCAGGTGTTTTGAATACAAAGAAGATTTGTCTGGTGGTGCAGGGGCAGGTAGAAAGGTGTCCTGAACAGGCTGTTCCAGCAATAACATGGTTGCTGTCTCTCTTTTTCTATCCCTGATACCTATGCATTTCTAGGCCAATTAATATTTATAAAATGAATGAACAAAGAAGTACAGGGGTAAAGGTCAAAGACTAAATTTAAAGCAAATTACATGCACGACTGGAACATTTAATGATCAGAACCAGAGGTAAAGAAAGGGAAATAAAGATAAATGGTCCTACCACTAAAAGAAATGAGGAAGAATGGTAAATTTTATTGTAATTTAAACATAACTCCAACGTAACTCTATTTATATACACACCAACTCTTCTCCACTGGGGATGACAACAGTTCTATTATTTTAGGCTGAGTTAGCTTCCCGGTCCCTGTTTAGATGGGCCTCAGGCCAGCGGCCTTGCCCTTACCCTCAGAGATTGTTAAAGAACTTGTCAAATAGCACACATCCAGGAGAATTGAAAGATGACTTGGAGACTTCAAGATATGAAGCCACTAAAAAAAGGCTGGAAGAAAATGCTGAACTTTTTGAACTTCATGAATTTCAGCATGAAGTGGGTAGAGATGACCCTGAGGCAGCAAGAAGTAGGCCATGCCTAGATGATACTTTGTTGGGTTTATAAATCTTAAAGCTGGTGCTATCACTACTGCATATTTCTCATCATGTGCAGCTCCGTGCATGTGCAAAGTCAATAATTTAGTGTTTTTCTTCAGCAGGTAGAAACAAGAATTCATTCATTCAATAAATATAAGGTGTCCCCTCCTCCCCCAAAATGTACATATATTTTAACAGCTGATAGCTCAATTTTCACTCCTTTTCAGGTTGAACTGATTTGAAATAATAAACGGGTGAAGCTGGACTAAGCTTTGAACAAAGAAAAAATCCTGGGACCTTTCAGTCCGCAGGCTGACGCTCTATCCACTGAGCCAAACCGGTTAGGGCAAGAAAATTTATCCTAAAGTGCCACTACACTTTTTTTTATGGGGACACATAAGAGATAAAGTTTATGGTACAAAACCAGGGAGAGTCGATGAATTGAGGGTGCACAAATACTGAACGAAATGATTCCTGATGTTTGCAATTCCACTGCTTGGCATTATCAGCAGTGCCTGATCCAGAACAATCATCAGTTTGAAAACAGTCATTGACAAAAAAATTATTCATTTCTGTAGATTCGTTTAAATTTTGAAAATGAACTGTATGTTAATAAACACTGACTTTATAATCATTCAAAGTGTGTACACATTTTTTGGGACACCCTGTATTTACTGGGCACCTGCTTTGTTGTAGGCAGTATTACAGTAGTGAAAAAGCTACACTCATGGAGACAAATTAATGCTACTTAATTTATTTGTTCACTTGATCATGTGCTATGAACAATATTATATTAGCACATGCTAACAACATGGGCAGACAAATGAGGTCAACTCAAGGAGAGAAAGAGAAAAATAAGAAGGACAAAACTTTAATATCAATTCTTTTTTTCTGGGACTTCTGATAAACCAATCAGGAAATATTTATTGGATAATGAGCTAGAATATCTATGTAGGCTCAAAGTGGATTCTAGGATGTGTCACACATATTTTAAAAATGTATTCAGTTTGGATAGCAAACTTTATGAACTACACAGTAAGATATAAAAATTACACAGAAATTGATGCTTAAAAAAAGACCTGTTTATTACTGACAACACTTCACTTGGCTAAAACCACAAGAAATCCACAACACAAATACTTAAAGTGTAAATTTTCAGTATTTAACACCCTGGTGTTTTCTTGGGGGAGGGGGGATGGGAAGATATTGACAGAAACTGTTAAAACAAGGGCATAATTTTGAACTACTGCTACAGTCAGAAAAATAATTCATTCTTAACTGCACACAATTTATCTGGCATAGTCAATGATGTATACAAAGAGTTTATGTTAGCCCAACACAAGAAGGCCTCACCATATATAGATGTGGACTCTGGAGTGGCTCTTGTCAGATACATGCTGAATCATAACACTTGAACAAAAATACACCAAATACAACTAAATTAGTTGTGACTCACTTGGACGGTAGCACTAGCAGGCTCAAAATGGCACTTGTATTCGTGATGTTAAGTCTACATAGACACTTTCTCAGCCTTCGTGGCCAATACCTTACTTTGAGTGTAAAATACTAGGCATTATACACAATTTCCAAATAAGAATATGCTCTGCTTTTTCCAGAGAAACTGAGTATTTAAGGATGTGTGTGCTTAATAAACATTACTTACACATTTTAGTGGTGAGGATTAATATTTTTGCTTATCAAATTATTTGCTTCTTTAAAATAAAATCCCTTAATGACTATTATCACCAATTAAGCACTCTGTAACAGGTACTATATACTAGGTGGTGTGGATATGAAAAATAATAAATGCAGCTGATAGTCAAGAAAGATCGTAGTCAAGGAATGCCAACAAATTAAAGAGAACAAGTGGCCAATACCTCTAACTATATGACAAGGGTCGTTGGTCACATAACTGCTCCAGGTCAGTTTCACCTGCCATCACTACTTTCAAAGGTCAGCTACCGAGGGGCAGGAAATATCCTATCGGTGTTCTATGTTTCTACGTCTCACACCCGAGTCAGTGTGTGTACGCCCAGGGATGGGCGGCAATTGGAGGGGGTTTTGGAGGAGAAAACAGAGAGGCCACGTGATAAAAACACGGTGCTCCTTTCTGGCGGCACCAGGTTTGGTGAAGATGGAAAGAGTCGTTTTTATAGCAACACAGTTTTATTATGGAGAACGCAAAACCCGCTTACATTTCTGAGACAGGACATGAATTTCGTGAGTGGTCGGCTGTTTCTGATTTTGCT